AACAACAACAACAACTTAAAAATGACGTCATTATTAACAGACATGGCGGAATTACTTTTTATATTGGGCCATTAACAGCAGCGTAGTAACGAAAACAACAACAACGATCCTATCAACAAAGACAACAACAACTCTCGCGACAAAAATTTTATTAATGACGTCATTATCAATAAACACAGCCACAACAACAACAACAACAACAACAAACACGTTAACAACAGATGGTACAGCATAACGACATATCAGCAGACACTCATCTATCTACTACATAGCACAACAAACATTCTCATACCCCAATTTTTTTACTGTTAAAACTATTTACAGTACTGTTTCAACCACACGACACCCACCACCACCACTACTACTACTACTACTACTACTACTACTACTATAGCGCTGCTGAGACTACTCTTATTGCTACTTTATCTTATTCATGTTGCATGAAAGCGCACACGCACACATGCACGCACGCACATGCACACGCACATGCACACACATAAACAGATAATGTTAGTAATTTTTATTGATTGTAATATTCATTAGCCAAAGTAAAATTTACTCGTTTGGGCGATATTGATGTGTAGTATTTCTGATTCTGTTCTGAATACGGTTTTGATTTTATATAAATGCACAGAAGTAATCAAAATGCGGCGCTCTATCACGCCAGCCAATCATATCGCATCACGTGATATGACGTCACAGTTGTTTACTTGCACACACCGGAAGTGAAAGCGGAAGTTATGTGCGAGCGAGCGAGTGGGTGTGGTGGGTAGTGGTGATGGGTGTGGTGGTGGAAGGAGGGAGTGGTGAAAGTTTGGTGAGCAGCTGTGGTGATGGCTTTATCGCGTTTTCAAACTACGACGCGAGTAGATGGATTAGTGGATGGATGATTGGATAGATGGATGGATGATTGGATAGATGGGTGAATGAATGGATAGATGGATGAATGAATGGATAGATGGATGGATGAATGGATAGATAGATAGATGGATAAAAGGATAGATGGAAGGAGAAATAAATGAATGAATGAATGGAAAAATAAATATTTGAATGGATTAATAGATGGATAGATGCGAACGTGAACGGGTGCGTGCATTTATGGATGGATGAATGTATCCAACCAACTATCCAATAATTTGTTTATAATTAAATTGAATACCTTTGCAAAAACTTCAAAAGTGTGAATAAGAATTAGTAATCTCGTGCAAGTTCTGAATAATGGTGCCTATGATAGTAATGTTGACCGTGATGTTGATGATGATGTTGATGTTGATGTTGATAAAATCGATGATGATGATGATGATGATGATTTTGACGATGATTTTGACGACGACGATGATGATGATGATGATGACGACGATGTTGACGACGACGACGATGATGATGATGGTGATGATGAGGAGGAGAAAGAGAAGGATGAGGATGTTTAAGATGAGGAAGATGATGGACGATGGCAATGATGAAGATGTTGACGAAGATGAAAGATTTAAACGACAAAATAATTTTTTATACATTGCATAAAATGTTGACAAGTTGACGTCATTTATCATTTTTTCATTCTTTGTTACACACACACCACCACACACGCAATAGACACACACACACACGCACACACACCACACACGCAATAGACACACACACACACACACACACACACACTTTCAGACAAAACAAGCGCACTCACCGACTTGTATAGCCACTCTCCCCCTCTCTCACTCTCTCTTCTTCTACTTCTTCTTTCTTTCTTTTCTTCTCTTTCTCATTTTCTCTCTCTCCTTTAATTTCTATTTCTCTCTTCCACACATGATTACTCATATTGTTACACATACACCAAAACACATTCACACACAGACACACACACACACACACACATAAGCATACTTAAACAAACAAACAAACAAAAATATACGCACACCATCCCACTTATTTATAAAAATTTTGTTTTTATTATTGCTATTATTAATAACAACAACAAAACAACAACAACAACAGTAATTAGTATTTGTTTCTATTTTGAGTAAAAAAATTTACTGAACGCATTTACGATTTCATCCATTGTCAGGCCATAGATCGTAGTGTTTCTATGGATGAATATTAACGCTGATTATAATGTAACAATACATACACTTTAGAAATATATACCTAAGGTCATACTAAATTACTGACAGTTAAAATACCTTAAACAATGTTAAATACATATGTCAATTGCAAGCTAGTCTAATTAGTAATGTTTAGTGTTTTTGTGAAATTTTTCTATGATAATTCTTAGAAAAACTGACAAAATAGTACGTACAACATGTGCTACAATCATTTTATATGACCGTTGTATGATAATTGTGATGATAATCACACGATGAAAGCGAAGACGACAATGATAATAATGATATTGTGATGATGATGACGACTATCAATACGTACCAATAATGTCCATTAAAAAGATGGTGACGACGATGATGATTACGGTGACTACGATGGTGATGATGATGATGAAGATAGTGTTGGTGATGATGATGATGATAACATAGTGTTGGTGAGGATGATGATGATGATGATAACAAAGTCATAGAAGCAATTATTGGAAAGTCAATCTGCTGACAGAGAATAGCTAGAGCCGTTTCTATTTTTCTTAGCTATTCATCCATTCCTTCGTTTTTTTCTCTTTTACTTACTTATTCGTTCGTACGTTCATTCATTCATTTACGCATAAAAATGATAATTCATTCGTTCATTCATTCATTCGTTCACTCATACATACATACATTCATTCATTCATCCATTCATTCATTCATTCATTCATTCATTCATTTATTTATTCATTCATTCACTCATTCATTCATTCATTTTTTTCGTTTTCTTTATTACCGTTACCATCACCGCCAACAAGGACATAGCGATAAATAAATTGATTAATCGCAAAATGTGTGAAAAATTTGAATTACGCAACACCTCAAAAATTGATTTGATGTACATTCAAAATAAAAAAAACTCTGATTCTTGTTCTAATTATAATTACTTTGTAATTTTCTTAAATTTCTACACAAAATAAGGAGAAATAAATCAGAAATAAACAAATAAATAAATTTTGTAAACAAATAAAACAAAAATAAAACACGAAAAGAAATAAATTGATATGAATATCTGCACGATTGCTTATCAAAATGTTGATAACTAACTCGAAAACTAAAAATTAAAAAATATTCATCGATATATCGTGTGCTCAAACGTAGGTTTACATTTCAGTTGAGATAAGGGAACGGTCAGCCCGATCCAAAGAGCGTAGGGGACTAAAATGGGTAGGAAAACATAAATTTTAAAAAACTATTCTTTTGTAAAGGGCAAACTATAAAGGAAAAAAAATAAAATAAGACAACGCCAATATTTATAAGACCATTCATCAAAGTACTCCAAAATTATAATTTTTAAATATTAATATTCTCATATATCAAATGAAAAGAAGTAAAATTTTCTTTTACTTTTTATTCATCAAATTACATTCGAATAAATTTTATACTTTTTAAAACTCGTCTCTATTTTCTGTCAGGCTGTCTGACTGTCTGTCTGACTGTTCCGTTTTTTGTGTGTCTGTCTCTCTCTCGCTCTCTCTCTCTCTCTCTCTCTCTCTCTCTCTCTCTCTCTCTCTCTCTCTCTCTCTGTGTATGTGAGGACGGCTTATAATACTTATAAATAACATAAATTTTTGAAAATTATTATAAATTCATCAAAAATAAATTGTGTGTGGGATGTTTTTGCTTGGCTGA